TCTGCACCGACTCCTGGGGTTCCCAGGCTGGGCCCAGCCGCCCTGGGAAGAAAAATACATGGCGATTAGTTCACTGATCTCAAAGCAAAGGCTGCCTGGGGGACTTGCGGGGTTCACAGTTCCAGGCAGCGGAGGATTTGAACTAGCTGCAGAGTGTGCGTTTAAGAAGTTGTGATTTGTCTATAGCTACTCTCCCTCGGCCCTCCTGGGGAATGTGAACACTTCTGCCGCCTTCCCCTGAGACGGACAAGAAATTCTTGCAAGTCAGTCATGGAATCTGTGAGAAGGAAGTTAAAATGCCTAACACGGACTTTTTCAAGGGATTTTAATAGAAGGAAAATGTCCGCCTGGTTAACATTGGGGTTCCATGATGTAGAGAGCAGGGACCCAGCACTCACTTGCGCGCAGGGCCCTCCACTCCCCACGGTCTCTTGTCTGGGGGGCTTGTCATTGACTGCTTCCTGCTGGGAGCTGTGACCACAGAAATGATAGCATTTGGTGACTGATGGGAACCATCTGAGGATGTCCATGCTCCTATCCCCGGCAGCAGCCTTTGATCTGAGGAGTGCAGGGTTGGAAGGGGAGCACTGTGAAAAGAGGGAGCAGTGGGCCTCGGCCTGGGGCTGATCTGACCCCGGGAGGGACAGAGGGAAGCAGCAGGAGAGGACAGACTGAGCCGCGGCCTGGGAGCAGCCTGTGGTCCTGGACACGACCCAGCAGTGGCTGCGGGTGGGTGAGCCACCGCGGAAGACAGAGTAGAGACCCTGTCCCTCTGCTTCCTCCTTGTCGGATCCCCTGTGAGTTTCTCCTCCTGTTTCACCCTGCCCATCTCACAAGACTCACCTCCAAGGTCACGTGCAACTTTCACCACCTCCTCCCAACAGCCACCCTGAATCCACCCTCAGCTGAGCCCTGGGCATGGCCCTCAACCGGGCCCTGACTCGCCCTGACTTCCCCCTGACCCCGTCCCAGCAGCCAGATATAAACAGCAGCCAACACAGAAATCGAGCCCCAGGTCCCCGTGAACGTCTCTGCAGCAGCCTGCTCATCTTTCAGTTCCTTTAACTCCCCGCTGCCCACTTCACACACACTCACACTCACTCCGCTCTTCCACATTTCCTCTCTCTCCCACCCTTGATCAAGTTCCTACTCACCCCCAGTTCCCACTTCCACGGCCCCATTCCCAGGTAACTCTCCCTAAGCCCTCGCTCATCATCACTTCCCAACTGCACCCACAGTTTCTCATAGCTTCTCGTGTTTTCCTTCATTGCTCTTATGAGAAGTAGAAGCCCTATACAGTTGGCATCCACTTATGTGCAGATTGTTTTCAATGAATAATGGACCAGTGTTTTCTCAAAAACAGTTTCTTTTCCGCAGCTTACTTTGTTATAAGAACACTGCATAATATACACAATATAAAAAATATGTGTTCATTGACTGTTAGAAACGCTTCTTCTGCTCAACAGTAGGCTATTAGTAGTTAAGTTTTGGGGGAGTTAAAAGTTATGTGTGGAATTTTAACGGGCCGGGCACCCTGACCCCTACATTGTTCAAGGGTGAACTGTATCTACAGTATTTCTGCTTTGCCAGTGTATTTATTTTTTATTGGAGTGAGTGTCCTCCACTGGAATGGGCATTGGGGGGAGATCAGGAACCGTCTTGTTCACCACCATATCTCCAGCACAGCAGTGGGTACAGAGTAGCTGCTCATATGATCTTGATGAATGAATGAATGCGTGAATGAATGGATGAATGGATCCCAGGATTCTCCAAGTATAGCTCATTACCCCCAGAGCTGATCGCTGATTCAGCAGAGGTGAGCACATTGCATCCGGCAGGTGTGTGAAGGCCTCCCCGGGGAGGTGAGCGTCCCCATGAGAACAGGGAGCCTCTTCTTTGCCTTTGTTTCCCTAAGCTCCCTCCCCTCTGCCTTCCACGTGTTTATTCATCTTCCTTTCTCCTCTCCCAGCTGTCGTATGAAGTGGGCATTTGGAGGAAATGCCCTTTTGGGGGGAAATTGGTTAAGAAGGTTTCTTCCATGGTACCCAGAATCTAACTAGCTGTGTGTCCACAGGGAATAAGAATATAAAAATATATCATTTTTCATCTCAAATATTTATACAAATGTTTCCAAATTAACACCTTATTGAAAAATACAGAGGCAATTGTGATTGTTAGGTTCCTTTGCTGAGGCTTGTCGATTGCGTCCATGTGTTGTCCATACAGAGGACAATGTTTGCTGCTCTTTTCTTGTTCATCCCACACTGCTGGCCTAGAGAATTACCAGCTCTCAGTCCCGTGAGGATGGGGAGGAGGAGTGTAGCCTTGTGGTGGTCAGGGATGGCCTCTGCAGGAGGCAGCTCCTGAGCTGAGATCCGGAGGAGGAGCTAGTCATGCAAAGATCTGAAGGAAATAGTTCTGGGCAGAAAGAGTAGCAGGAACAAAGGTCCTGGGGTGGACACAAGCTTACCAGTGTGTCTGAGCAAAGTAAGAAAGCAATGTGGCTGGAGGGAAATTAACAGGAGTAGCGGGCCAGGCAGGGCAATCAGGTGGGGAGTTTAGGTTTTGTTCTAAGCAATTGAAGGTTTTTAAACAAGAAGTCAACCGCTGTTATCTATATACTAGAGACCCACAACAGTAGGCCTTCCTTCCCCCGGCTGCCGGCACCAGCTTCCCTCTGGCACCTGGGACCCGAGCTTCCCTCGCAGCCCCAGCTTCGTCCGGAAGGTCGTCCAGAAGGACGTCCAGTCTAAGTAGCATATTATGCTTTTATTATTATAGATATAAAAGCCTAAGGGACCGTTACAACAGAACGACCGGAATGACTGGAACAACCGGTCACTATGATGCGCACTGACCACCAGGGGGCAGACGCTCAATGCAGGAGCTGCCCCCAGCCCACAGGCCCCAATTGCCAGTGGGGGCTGCTGGCCAACCTCCCGGTCCCTCCCCCCAGACAGCAGGTCCTGATCACCCAATCGGGGCCGGGCCCCATGTTGGGACAGGGAACCAGAAGTAGGTGGCAGCAGATGCAGGAGATGAGGGAAGGAGGAGGGGGGAGGCAGGGAGGTGGGGAACCTGATTGGCCCTGATTGCTGGCCAGGCCTAGGGATCCACCTGTGCACGAATTTCATGCACTGGGCCTCTAGTATATGTCATAAAATATCATCCTGGCTGGTGTCTGGAGCATGGATTATCAGAGGAAGGATGCAGTAATGTATGTGAGGAGAGCAGAGTCCAAGTCACCATAGACAAGTCATTTGATCCACAGTTTTCTCATCTGTAAAATGGAGCTAAGAAAACCCACCTCGGAGGCTTCTGAGGATTAACGGGTATAATGACTTCCATGTACCCAACACAAAACAGGTCCCCACTCAATCGAATCCACTGTTATCTCCTCTTTCTAGGTAACACCCCAGGACTTCTCACACGTGTTTAATTCTTTGCTTTGTAACATAAAGTTTGATGGTCTTTGTTATTAAAACTCTGAGACATTCAATGATTGCATTAGGTGTCCAGAGGCAGTCCCTGCCAGTTGTAGGAAAATACCATACCAGAAGGAATCACGTTACTGCAGCATATTCAGGGTTTTCCTTCGCTGGGAGTTTACATTCTCAAGGCGTGGGCTGCTCTTAAGACAGCAGGCCGAAGGTGCAAAGTCTACCGTGTCTCCAGAATAAGACTGTTGCTGCCCGTCTTAGACAGCTGTGGGTGCCCACAGGGTGGGTGACCGCACAAGCCCATTGTTCTCTGGAAAAGCACCCCTGCCTTTCACAACAGGCAAACCCACCAGCGAAGCCGATGCCAGGCCACAAGCTTCCGAGCACCTGCGCCTCACAGCCGCGGCTCTGCCTGAAGGCACACAGACGCCTGCGAGCGCATCTCAGAGCGTGGGCTGTGCTATGTACTCGTGGGAGTTAGGAAACTGTGCTTTTGTGTTCCCTTTCTACCCAATGTGGGCAATGTGTAATTTTCCAAAAGGTAAAATCGCAACTCTTGTGTAAATAGAAAAATGAACTCATGTCAAAGATTTTATTTAACTGATTAATGAGGGAACCAGACAAGTGTGAAAACCGGGTCAAAGAGCATCGAGGGTCTCGGTGTCTGTAGGCAGTTAATAAAGGAACTTTAGGATAGAGTTGCAGGGCTACGTACAAATTTGGTTAAAGTCTGACAAGGTAATAAACCATAATCTTCCAGGATATCTTCTCCTACCAAACACAAAGTATTTGCCTATTTCACTGGAAAAAATTGTAAAGTAGCATGTAACTTCACTTGTCTTGAACTCTAACCCATACTCTTTTGTTTTTAATATATTTTATTGATTTTTCACAGAGAGGAAGGGAGAGGGATAGAGAGTTAGAAACATTGATGAGAGAGAAACATGGATCAGCTGCCTCTTGCACACCCCCCACTGGGGATGTGCCTGCAACCAAGGTACATGCCCTTGACCGGAATCGAACCTGGGACCCTTCAGTCCACAGGCTGATGCTCTATCCACTGAGCCAAACTGGTTAGGGCTAACCCATACTCTTGATACGATTCGAAGGCCCTGTTCCCTCTAAATGCTTCGTCTCTGCTGGAGTCTCTAAGCGGAGCCCCACGCTCCCTTGAAACCTGTTCACAGCGCATTCCAGGGACAGGAGCTGAGTGTGGGGACTAGCCAGGCTGAGGCCCATCTTCTGGACACCGCAGTGGCCGTTGTCACTGAAGGCCACCTGGAGGGAGGGCCGAGTGTCACGGACAGCGTCCTGCTTCCCTCCTCTCCACAGAAATAAGAGCTGTCATCTGGTGCCATGTGTCACTTTCCCTCCAAAGACCTGACTTTGGGGCATCACATGACTCACCCTTATCCACCCATCAACGCACCAGGTAGCCAGCGAGCACCTACTGTGCGCTGGGACCTATATATCCTAATTCTCCTGTAATAAACATGCATTGATATATAAGGAATGATTATATTAACCCCACAGAAACAAACTACCTTCATTTAATTACAGCACAAAGTTCTAAGGAGAAGGGAGCTTAGCCATCGCTGCTGTGGCAACAAGGTGATTTTTTTTATTTTGTTAGGAGTGTGTAGCTTATGGAAAGATCCCGTCTCTGAGAATTAGGGAAACAGACTGGATTGCATCCTGGCTGTGTCACCATAGACAAGTCACTAACCCGCTGAGTCCTAGTTTCATCATTCATTCATTAATGAACTTTTTTTTAGCATCTCCCTATGCACCGGTCCAGGCTTGCCTCTGGGGACAAGAGCAGCAAATAAGCGAGATATGGGCCCAGCAGACATCGGACTTCCAGTCCAATTCAGGAGAAAAATGACAAAGAAGGATGTAATAATTATGACAGTAACAGGCAAGCTTTACTGCGCACTTCCTAAGTACTTGCACTTCAATGAGCTTTATACACATCAACCCATTTAATTCTCACAAGAATACCACAGGGTAAGATAGTTACTGTTATTCCCATTCTGCAGACAAGGAACCTGAGGCCCAAAGAGAGTAGCCAATTTGCTCAAGGACACACAGCTGGGAAGTCACTCAGCTATGTAACTGCCAGGATCAGAGTCACAAATGAAGCCAGGGCCATGAGGGCATATTAGGGAGACTGGACCTGGTCTCAGGGTGCAGGTCAGACTTCCCTGCGGATATGACATGTCACCTGAGACTCCAAGGATGAGTAGGAACGAATCAGGCAAAGAGCAGGGACCGGAGCCGCTGGGGACGAGGAAAGGAGATAAAATAGCAATTGTGAAGGGCTCCAACGTGCCTGACCGAGCAGTATTGGTGCAAGGGTGGATGGCAGCGGTAACAACAATGAATTCTTCCTCCCTTCTCACCCAGGCACTCTTGGCCAGGGCACTTTATAACAACGACCCGGACTGCTCCGATGAGCTGGCTTTCTGCAAAGGAGACATCCTGACCATTCTGGAACAACACGTGCCGGAGAGCGAGGGCTGGTGGAGGTGTTTGCTCCACGGGAGGCAAGGCCTGGCCCCTGCCAACCGCCTCCAAATCCTCTCAGGGGCCCCCGCAGACAGTCCCTGTCCCCCTTTCCTGAGACCCCTGGAGGAAGCTCTCGCCAGCTCCAAGGAGGCCTACCAGGTGCCCACCCTGCTGAGCCCCCCACCTCCAGGCCCTGTGTACGAGCCGATGAAGAGCTGGGTGACGGGGCCCCCGCCACACACAGTCCAAGTCTACGATGACCCGGACTCTCCTCCCCTCGCAAACATTGCCTATCAATACCTCCCATAATTTTCGCTCCAGACACCAGCCTTTACAATATATTGTGGGTATGTACTAGAGGCCCCCGCATCAAATTTGGGGGGGGGGGGGGGGTTAGAGAGCAACTAAAGGGCTTGTATTCATGCATATCAGCATAACCAATGGACACAGACACTGGGGCGGTGGGGGCTTGCCCCGGGCTGGGAAGGGATGGGGGAGGGGGTCAATTGGGGGAAAAGGAGACATATGTAAAACTTTAGACAATAAAAAAAAGGAAGGAAGGAAGGAAGGAAGGAAGGAAGGATGGAAGGAAGGAAGGAAGGAAGGAAGGAAGGAAGGGAGGAAGGGAGGAAGGGAGGAAGAGGTAGGGCTAGTGATGTGTGACACCCAGGGGCGGGACCACCCTTCAATCACTGGTGCCCATCAAAGCAAATGGGCCAATGGGATCCAGACCGTTGGTGTGATGAGGTGAACTTGGGTTTAGCCCCCACTTAGTGGCCTTCCCACCCTGCGATGCCCCAGCTCTCCAGGCACCCACACTCGGTGGGAAACTGAACGTTTAGTCCAGCTGTGCCACAAAGTGCTGTGGGCATGCGTGGTGGCCATTTTCACCCGAGGTGGGAATGGTAGGACAGCCAGTGATAAATGGAGGGGTTGGATTTCCATGGGTTCGAAGGCAGGAAATTACTCATCAGCTTTAAAATATATATTCCCTTCAACCCAGAAATTTTACTTCCAGAATTGCTACAGAAATCCACAAGAAGGCAAAGATATATCTGGATGGGGAGGCCATGCCACTGTAGCATTATTAGTCATAAGGAAAAATCGAAGCTGTTTGTTAATAGGAAGAGATTGTTCATAAATGTGGGCATACTCCTGCAACAAACTAGCATGCAGTTGTGAACAAAAGAGGAAGTAGTTTGTCCTGGCCGGTGCTCAGTGGTTAGAGCACCAGCCTACAGACCGAAGGGTCACAGGTTCAATTCCCAGTCAAGGACCCGTGCCTGGATTGCAGGGTTGCTCCTCAGCCCTGGTCGGGGGGTGCGGGAAGCAACCGATCAATGTCTCTCTCTCTTTCTCTTTTCTCTTCTCCCTCTCTCTCTCTTTCTCTTTCCCCCTCTCTCCTTCCTACTCTCTCTAAAAATCAATGGAAAAAATATCTTTGGTGAGGATTAACAACAACAACAAAAAAGATGAAGTAGTTCTCCGAGGTGTTAATATAGGGGAATGAAGAGCCATTCAAATAAAAACCAACCAAACAAAAACTAAAAATTAAATTCTGTGTGGTGTGTGTGTGTGTGTGTGTGTGTGGTGTGGTGTGTGTGTGGTGTGGTGTGTGTGTGTGTGTGTGTGTATGTGTGTGTGTGTGGTGTGGTGTGTGTGGTGTGTGCTCACACATTGGAAAAAATGCACGCCACCAGTGGTTACCCTTAGGAAGTGGGATTGGCCAAGGAGAAAGTGAAAGAGGGCCTTAAGCAGGGCCCTTTATTTTATTCACTCCTATGTCCCCAGCCCAGGACCGTGGCCGGCCTGGGGTGGGCACCTGTAAATATTTCACGAACTGAGAGATTAGGAAGTTGATGTGTGTTATAGCACAGGGTGTTCATTACACCTGAAATTCTTTTTAAATGGGAGTTTTTTTAAAAGACAAAAAGAAGCACCCAGTCAATGCAGAGTGGAAAAAAAATTAAAGAAGGGAAGGAATGAAAACAAAAGAGGAGAAAGATAATAATGCGCTGTTTTCCCCGAGCCCACGCCTTCATGAGGTGCTGAGAACACAGAACAGATCTGCAAGGTCTGCAGCCACGGCGGCGTTCCCTGCCACCGTGCCTTTGCTTTCAGCTCCAGTGACAGTCCGCCTGGCACAGCTCTGGGCAGAGGGCCTGACAAGGCCGGTGTCCGGGAACGTCCACTCCCCGTGGATGTGCTGGGGGCCCAGGATCGTCATGCTTGTGAGACAGGCCTCTGCACACCAGCTCCCAGCACCATCTGCAAACAGGGAGGTGCTGACTCCTTAAAAGGCTTTGAATACTTCAGATGTTCTGACTCCCTGGGCTGCCAGGCAGAGAAGCAGACAGCTGTCCCACAGAACAGCTGCCCCTTGGGCACCGGCTGCAAACCCCCAGGAAGCTGGCTGGGTCCTGCAGCAGCCTCTGGGGTGGACCCAGGTCCTCCCCGGGAACAGCTGGGGAACTCGGCCTGGACGGGGCCTGGCACGCCCACCTGCCTCAGGAAAAGCGCGGGGCCTGTGCTGAAGTTAACTTTTCTTTTCAAAGAGACAAAAGAAAGGGAAAAAACGAAAGCCATTTCCCCTTCCCAAAAGGAAAACAGCGGGGATGCCCACAGGTCACCAGGTGTCCCTAACACCCAACACGCTGCCCCGTGAACGTTGTGAATGGTTGGAGCGACCTGACACAACACAAGGCTTCCTAACCGTGGGCTTGCACTCCTAGCCTGACACCTGGTGGAACGGGGAGGGTGGGTGTGCTGTCTCAACAGGAAAGGGCAGGGCACGCGCTCTGAGCTTTGTCCTTAGCGCAGAGTGTCCGCGGAGAGAGCCCCGGCCCGTGTGGGCTGCAGAATCAGACAGAAACCACAGCTGCCGACGGGGAATTCAGAAACCAGGGGCTCCTCGCCAGGCCTCTTGAGGTGGACCCTGAAACCCCCAGGGGACTTTTCTACTTTCATTCCCGCTGAGGTTCCCTCCGCGGCTGCCTGTCCACCACCACCGCCCTCTTGTTATTGCCTCTGTGCTGGGGGGTCTTGGAGAGCCCGTGTGGGGCTCGGGATCCGGAGTCCTGGTTGACCTGCCCACCTGGGCCATCACAGCCGTCACAACGCCCCTCCCCGCTTCTCTCGCTCCCTCTGTGTCAGGGGAGCGGCAGACCGATCACTTCTAGGATCACCTCCAGTTGCACTGTTTGGTGATTCTAAGTAATTTTGCTGCTGCTTCTACACAAGAAGGAAGGAACAGAAGCCAGGGACAGATAACCAGTTAGGAGCCCCCCCACCCACAGAGCAGCCAGTATCTCCCGCTTGTGTAATCCGGTGGTTAGCCCTGCATCGGAGGCTGCCCAGGAACACGCCCTGAGCAGAAGCGGTCGTTGCTAGAACAAGGCCAGGGGACCCATCTCACAGACTCCCCTACATCTGGTCAGCTGTCTCCAGATTCAGGCTGGCCAACAATGAGCCAGATGGCGGAGACGCCTCTTTCTCTCCCGTCGGCCCGGCAGAGGAACTGCGTGTCAGCATCAGGCGTCTCGATGGCTGGAAGGGGCCTCTGTGGACCCTTCCATTAGAACAGCCCTTCATTTTACAAAGGAGGAAACTGATTCCTAGGGAGGGAAGAGGGCATCCAGGGCCACACGGCTGGTGGACACTGAGATTAAAGCGTCCCTGTTGGTCTGCATGTCTGTCTGCGTCCCTGCTGCTAACACCCAGGACGCGCGACCCCCGCACACCCTCGACCTGCATTTACCTGACTCTGCGGCAACACTGTCTACTCTTTGCGTTCATTTTTTAAAATTGAAGTTTAACCTACAAATCCTAAAGGTACAGCTCAGTTACCAGGATTCAGATCAAGAAACAGAACAAAACTAAAAGCAAAACAAAAAAGTAAGAGAACAGAGCCCCTCACGCCTTCTCCTGGCCACTTCCTCCTGGGAAACCACTGCCTTGAGCTTTGTTTTACTTTTTATTCCAACTTCCTTAATACCGTGCACTGGCCTGACTTGTTAGAGTCACCAAATAAAGAACGTATCTGATTTTGGTTTAAGTTCAGAGAAGGGAATCAAGTGAGAAGGGTCAGCTCTCCTGATGAAATCGCTCTCCGACCCACTAGTTCAGTGATGGCGAACCTATGACACGCGTGTCAGAGGTGACACTCGAACTCATTTTTTTGGTTGATTTTTCTTTGTTAAATGGCATTTAAATATATAAAATAGATATCAAAAATATAAGTCTTTGTTTTACTATGGTTGCAAATATCAAAAAATTTCTATATGTGACACGGCACCAGAGTTAAGTTAGGGTTTTTCAAAATGCTGACACGCCGAGCTCAAAAGGTTCGCCATCACTGCACTAGTTCCTGGAGCTCCCTCCTAAGCCTTTTGAGACCATGCTTCTCAGCTATGCTCCTTAATGACACCAGCGAACCCAGTTTCCCAAGAAACCCTGGGCATTGCTGAGCTGGCTCCTCCCACCCGAAAGCACGCAGGGAAGTCCTTTGCTGCTGCAGGTGATTCTGCAGCTCCTGCGACCATCAGCAGCCTAAACACAAGGGGGCTGGGGTCACAGGTAGCAGCAGTCAGAACCGCCCTGGACAGCTGGGGCGGGGGGCGGGGGGGACGTAGTGTGTTGGAGTACTCAGGGTGACCTTGCCTTTCCCTCGGCTCTTTTTCTCCCCAAGGCCATCGTCCCGATTCCCAGACCGGCCCAGGCCTCATTGCTCTCTCTATATGATGTGCCCGCCCAGAGCCGCGGCCCCTCTGCCTTGAAGGTGAGCCTTGACCCTGGCCCTGCTCCCCCAGGGGCCTCTCAGGGTCACAGGGATGACCTCCAGAGTGTCTGCCTGCTCCTGGCCCCACTCAGAATCCAGCTTCCGCCAGGGAGCCAGACCTGCTCAGAATGTTATGACTGAGAGCTGAGCATCTTTAAAACTTCTGCTTCTCATTTGTAATAGACACTTATCTCTATGCACACACGCTTACCTGTGCATAGACATAGATGCATTTTAGGAATAATATTTTGAAAGGTATACAGGGTGGAACAAAAGTAGGTTTACAGTTGTGAATACACAAAAGAGTTTGTCCTTATATTATTATTTATTACTTTATTATTTTCCATATGAAAAACTGTATGCCAACTTTATTTTAAAAATATGTTTTTATTGATTTCTGAGAGAGGAAGAGAGAAGGAGAGATAGAAACATGAATGATGAGAAAAAAACATCCACTGGCTGCCTCCTGCACACCCCACACTGGGGATTGAGCCCACAACCCGGGCATGTGCCCTGACCAGGAATCGAACTGTGACCTCCTAGTTCATAGGTTGATGCTCAACCACTGAGCTATACTGGCTGGGTTGTAAACCTACTTTTTAAGAAAAATATATTTTATTGATTTTTTTACAGAGAGGAAGGGAGAGGGATAGAGAGTTAGAAACATCGATGAAAGAGAAACATCGATCAGCTGCCTCCTGCACACCTCCCACTGGGGATGTGCCCGCAACCAAGGTACATGCCCTTGACTGGAATCGAACTTGGGACCTTTCAGTCCGCAGGCCAACACTCTATCCACTGAGCCAAACTGGTCAGGGCTGTAAGCCTACTTTTGCCCCACTCTGTACATCAGAGTATTAACATCATCATTGGTTATATTAGCATTGATTACCTCTGGGGGATAAAATTTTAGATTTTTTTTTAAACTTATTTGTAACTGGTACGTCAAATTTGTAAGGCATGCCTCCTGTAATCAGAGGACAAGTCCACTCACGTCTCAGCCCATCCGAGCTCCTGGGGCTGCAGCGTGTAGCCCACTGCAGCACGTAAGCCCAGCACAGAGCTCCATGGCCCAGGCCCCACATCCTCAGCGGTTTGTGTTTGCGTTTGGAAGAAGCACGGGCGTGGGAGAGCTGTGATGGCTTAGGCTTCAGGAAGGAAAAACCCACGTGGTCCTGCTTTTGTGGTCTTTCCCAGGAGCCAGGGAAGCAGCAGTTATATGACATCCCCGCCAGCCCCCGGAAGGCAGAACGGGGTCCCCCGGCCGGCCAACCCAGCGTAAGTATGACTGCTGCTGAGATCCGATGCAGCAGACCTGCAGGCCTCCGGCCATGTGTTAGCTCGGTCAAGGCGTGCCATGCCAGCTCCTCGGGGCAGACCTCATTTCTCGGAGCCCCTCGCTGCCGTGGTTCGGGAGCAGGGCGGCCGTGTGGGGGGGATAAGTCCCCTCACCTCTGCAGCCTCCGTGTCCATTGCAGACTCCTGGCGAGCATGGAGACCCCTGGGAGGGACCCAGGGTGGTGCTGGGCAGAGTAGGAGCTCAGCCTGCCTTAGAGAAATGCTTCGTATTATCTTAGGCTGAAGAGCTGTGCTGTGTTTAAGTGGGTTTTGATTTGTATGTCGGGGAAACGCCTTAACCTGGATCTGTGTCATCCCTGTTGATCCTGGATCCTGTCACACGTCTGCAATCGATACGTGGACGCCCAAGGTGATCAGGGAAGGCCTTACAGGAGGGCTGGCATCTCAGCAGTGTCGTGCGGGATGCATAGGAGTTTGTTAGATGGAAAAGGAAGGGTTGGGAGGCATTTAGAGCAGGGGGACAGTTTGGGCAAAAGTAAATATCTCGGTATAAAGTGGCCATTCTGGGTCCGGGGAAAGGTGAGCAGCCTGGCAGCTGGACCTACAGGGAGGTGGGGCAGGTGAGGGGAGCGTGATGGCAGCGGGAAGGGAGGCTCTCAGGAGAGTGGAGCCAGGCTGTGAAGGGCCTGGAGAGACAATGGCGGGGGGAGGGGTGGTAAGGGGGCAGCCGCTGCAGCAGCTTGAGCAGGGAGTGGCCAGCAGCACAGGGCCCGGCGCTCCGGGGCCTCGGCAGCATGCACATTGCACATGTATCAAGTGAGGTGCCCCACCTCTTTTCTTTGCTACTAACCTGGGTAACTTTGCGGTTCTCCACAGAGGCAGAGTGCTCCCGTGACAGCAACAGTTGCCCTAGGCAGAGCCTGCTACAAAACATTGCCAAACCCCCAGAAATCAGAGTGGATTTATGACACTCCAGCGTCTCCAGCAAAAGCGGATGTGAGAAATGTCTGTGTTACCGGCTTTGTGGAAGAATCGGGGTCCCACGCCCTCCCCAGATCCATGTCCAGTTTCCACAGTCCTCCGAACAGCAGAGCGCGGTCCCTCACTCCACACCTGCGTGGAAATGTGCCCGTGCAGAACCCCGCCTGCCCCGGGCCAGCGCCCGGGGACGCCTGCCCTTCCGACGGGGGTGTCAGCTACAAGGTCCCTTTGAGCTTTCTGATTCCCCGAGTGGAGCAGCAGAACACCAAGCCCAACATCTATGACATCCCTATCCCTGTGCCCAGCGCCCCTCGGGCTGGAAAAGAGCCAGGGGATGCGGACGGGGCTTCAGGGGAGACCTCGGACCCTCACTGCGCATGCCTCTCCAGACAGGCCGCATGGCCCGCCCCTGAGCCGGACAGACTGTCCGTGAACAGCTCCGACAGCAGGGCCAGCATCACGTCTTCCTGCTCCTCCATGTCCACCGACTCCTCGTGCAGCTCCTCCTCGGAGGAGTCGGCGAAGGAGCTCTCCTTGGACCTGGCCTTGGCCAAGGGCACGGCGACGGCTCTCCAGCAGAAGGTGGCCAGCTCGGTGGCCGGCCTGATGCTCTTTGTCAGCAGGAACTGGAGGCTCAGAGACTCTCTGGAGGCCAACATCGACGCCATCCGCAGGGCCGCCGACCTCATCGAAGAGTCCCTGAGAGAATTTCTGGATTTCGCCCGCGGAGTCTGCGGGGCCGCCGGGAACCTCCCCAGCAGTAGCCTTCAGGCCAGAATTAGGGATCAGCTGCAGACGATCTCCAACTCCTACCACATCCTGCTGGAAACCAAGGAGAGCCTGGAGGGCTGCCAGTGGTCCCTGGACGTCCTTGTGACAGACAAAGCCCAGAGCAGCCTGGATGACCTGGAGAGGTTTGTCATGGTGGCAAGGATGGTTCCGGAAGACATCAAGAGGTTCACCTCCATCGTCATTGCCAACGGGAGGCTCCTCTTCAAGCAGAATGCTGAGAAGGAAGAGACCCCACCATGGGCCCCCAAGACAGAATTCAAGCTGGCGAAAGGCATCCAGCTTCCCCGGAGGGAAATGGAGTCCTACCAGCGGAGTGCGCCTTGTCCTCAGCAGAGGGAGAACGGGCCCTGCCCCGAGCTGCTCGGGAAAAGCTGGGCCAGTGTCTGTGAGAAGGTGAGTCCGGGTTCTGAGCAGGGCAGCCTGAAGGGCTCCCCACGTGGACCTGGCGTGGTCGCCGGAAAGTCAGGTGCTGAGAGTCTTCCAGGGATGGGATAGGCTTTGGGAGACAAATTCCTGAAAGTAAAATTCTAGATGAAACCTTAGAAAGAAGTCAGTTAAACATTTTAATGTTAAGGCGGAGAGGATGTCTTCTGGAAATTTGGGGATTTGGGTTTTACCTCTGACACTAAGATGAGAAAGGACTTTAAAAGCCTTTTGAAGTCCATTCTATGAGCAAATCTCTTAATTTCACCATCGAGGTTTTTTTGCATTTTTTTGAAAGTTATGAATCTAGTCATGGTCAGTGTGTTTCTTATGAATGGAAGAAGGGAGTGTAAACACTCTTCCAAATTGTGTGTGGTCTCAGCAGCCTCGAGACTCCAGTTGCTCTTAGAAAAACTCCACTGCCTGAGTTCAGATGCTATAGAAAGAACGTCTGGTTCAGGAGCTGCCAGTCCCTGCGGCTGTGTGGCCCGGGTAACCTGGTGCTTTGGGGCTCAGTCTTGGTATCTTGGTTTTCTGCTAAAATGCCTTGTGGTGTAAGAGCCGCAACACATTCTAGACAAGCTAGAAATTTGGATATTTTGCATTTCCCAAATAAATAAATATTTTTTAAAAGGGCCTTTGTGTCATTATGCTAGGCCATATCGTAGACACAATTCAGCCCATGGGCGGCCAGAGCGTCCTTGTTGAAAAAGGCTTCAGTTCACAGAACAAAAGCGTGAAGAGGAGTGCTCGATTTCAAAGTGGGCTGAAAGAGCTGGCCAGCCTTAAAACAACCATTCCAGGAGGTAATTCGGAGGGATTGTCTTTTTCAGAAGTTGCCTAACCTGGAAGAGAAAGTAAAACCCATCCTGGAACAAAGATTGGATGAAAACAAAGACTTAGAAACACAGGTAAGCGAGAATGACCACCCTCCCACACTTCCCATCAGCTGCTTTCTCCGGGAAACCTTTCCTGCTGTGAATCCTTCAACGTTGTAGCCATGACACTGGCAGGAGACTTGGGTTTTGTGATGGTTTTCCCTTGTTACGGTGGAAGGGCCCCTGGAGGTGGACCGGCGGAGCGCAGGGTGGGGACCGTGATCTTCAACCACTCCTGAGAGGACGCAGGGCTCTCCCCCCGCCATGGGCGGCGCCGCAGGGCAGAGTCCAGGGCTCACGCTCCCTTTGACATTCTCTCTTTCGGCTTCTGGTAACAGCTGAAAGGCTGTTTTGGTTCTTTCTAGATTGGTTTTTATTTATTTTTCTTCAACACTTTTTGACATTTGATGTTCTTTCTTTATTTTTAATCAAAGGTGTTATCATTGTGCTTTTTGTTTTGTTTTATTTTGTTTGTTTTTATTTATTTTTTATTGCTTAAAGTATTACAAAGAGTATTACATGTTTCCCTCCCCCCCCCTATTTTGTTTTGTTAATAACAAAATAAAAAATCACCCGAGGATATGTTTTCCATTGACTTTTAGAGAGAGTGGAAGGGTGGGAGGGAGGGGGAGAGAGAAAAAGAGAGACATTGATTGCTTGCCTCCTGTACCCACCCCGACCTGGGCCAGGGATCAAACCTGCAACCCAGGCATGTGCCCTTGACTGGGAATCGAACCTGTGGTCTTTCAGTGCACAGGCCAACGCTCTAACCAGTGAGCAACACTGGCCAGGGCCCATTGTGCTTTTTTTTTAATATATATTTTTTATTGATTTTTTACAGAGAGGAAGGGAGAGGGATAGAGAATTAGAAACATCGATGAGAGAAAAACATCGATCAGCTGCCTCCTGCACACCTCCTACTGGGGATGTGCCCGCAACCAAGGCACATGCCCTTGACCGGAATCAAACCTGGGACTCTTCAGTCCGCAGGCCGACGCTCTATCCACTGAGCCAAACCGGTCAGGGCCCATTGTGCTTATTTTTATTGATGACCTTTTCTTGGTGGCAAATGACCGCAGTTTTCCTTTTAACAGTTTAAAAAGTTCCCTTTAAATTAATATAAGTGGATCCATTTAAAGACAAAGATTAAGCGAATTGGTGTTAAGAGGAAGCCAGGAAGAGCTTAACTGGTGAAGGTTTTCTTTGAATCGCTGAAGCCTGGGACACAGTGAGCCAGCCTGACCTCACTGGCTGGGGCAGGGGCGGGGCGGGAGGAGGAGGGCAGCAGTGTCTAGCCATGTGGACACTGCTCAGAGGTAAACAAGGACCAGACCCCAGGCCTCCTGATCCACATTCCCAGAGCCTCCAACACCTCTCTTTGGGCCTGAAATCCTTGCTCTTTTCTTCAGCATGAAGTAAGCCTTAGACCAGGCCTCTCAGACTGGACAGTGTATCACAGGCTCCTCCCCCCACCCCCCCAACACACACACAGAGTGTCTGACTCAGGAGGTCTGGGTGGGACCCAGAATTCTTTTCTAACAAGTTCCCAGTGAAGCTGATGCAGCAGGTCCAGGGGCCACACGGGAAATGACTGCTTTAGACGGACAGTGCCTCTCAGGGTGGGGGGCACCACTGGCCGTTGTGTGGGTGGACACTCAGCACCCCCAGCGCTGCCTCTGCCTGCCTGCAGAGCTCCCTGGTCGGTGTGACAGATAACCGGGAAAATCCCCCAGTTCCAACGCCCCAGGATGAGAATCACGGCACATCCTTACTTACCTACAGTTAACACTGTCAAGCTAAGATGCTGGCCTTCCAGCGTGGAGATTGTTGCTCCTCATTCCAGCCTCTGCTGCATCCTCCTCTGCTCCCTGCCCCCAGAGACCTGCCTCAGCCAGCACCCCGATCTTTCCGTCCCTTTACCTGTCTATCTTGGTCCGTGTGTGCTGCTGTAACAAAGTCCTGTCGATGGAGTGGCTTATAAACAACAGACACGGATGTCTCGCCATGCTGAAGCTAGGAGTTTGAGATCAGGGCACCAGCGTGGTCAGGTTCTGGGACAGCTCCCTGCCAGGCTGCAGCCTGCCTTGGCGCTGTGCCCTCTGGATTCCTACAAGGGCCCTGATCCCACCCATGGGGCCCCACTGCATGGCTTCACCTAGTCCTCGTCACATCCCAAAGGCACGATCTCCTCGTCCCTTCATATTGGAGAGGGGAGTTGCAACATATGAATTTGGGGAGGACACAGTCAGACCATAGCACCGTGTGAGTGCTCCTGGGCTGTGCATTTTGAGGTCAGAGGTCGAGGAGAGTTTCAGGATGCAGTTTAACAGGAAGAATGAGTTTCAGACTTCACTGACTCCGGATTTTTATTTCGCTCATTGAAAGATTCTAGGCAGCCTTTTTCTTCAGGGAGCCTCACTCTCCTCACTCATCACCTAGCAATGGGGCTTTCGAATGCTCCCTGGAGTGGTCGCCACTAAGTTAGATGCTGAAATCTTTCCACAGTGGGTAGGCCTTAGGGGGACACTGGTTCCATAGTCTAGAAAATAAAATGCATGGAAGTGAAACTACAGATAAAACCTTATTAGCAAGCAAGAGAAATGTTTTTTTTAAATATATTTTTTATTGATTTCAGAGAGGAAGGGAGAGGGAGAGAGAGAGAAAGAGAAACATCAGTGATGACAGAGAATCATTGATTGGCTGCCTCCTGCACGCCCCACACGGGGGATCGAGCCTGCAATCTGTGCATGTGTTTTGACTGGGAATTGAACCGTGACCTCCTGGTTCATAGCTTTTGCTCAACCACTGAGCCACACCAGCCGGGCACAAGAGAAATATTTTCATGTTAAGGCAGGCATGTCAGCATAATTAGATTTCTTCTGAAAAATTTTGAGGGTCAGGTCCTACCTCTGATACTAGAGTTAGAAAGGAGTTTTTAAATCCTTTAAAATCTGTTCTTTGAGCCCTAACCGGTTTGGCTCAGTGGATAGAGCGTCAGCCTGCGGACTGAAGGGTCCTGGGTTCGATTCCGGTCAAGGGCATGTACCTTGGTTGCGGGCACATCCCCAGTAGGGGGTGTGCAGGAGGCAGCTGATCGATGTTTCTCTCTCATCGATGTTTCTAGCTCTCTATCCCTCTCCCTTCCTCTCTGTAAAAAATCAATAAAATATATTTTTTTTAAAAATCTGTTCTTTGAGGAAACATTTTAATCTCACCATCAAGTTTTCTTGCATTTTTTGAAAGTTGTAAATTTGGTCATTGCCAATGTGTTTCTTCTAATGGTTTGTTGAGAGAATTGAATAAGATTTTATATATTTGTATAAAATATGTGAGATTATATATAATGCAATTCATGAGGTTGTATATATCATAATTTTTATGTAACAGTGCTTTGAAAACATAAATATTAATTAGTTAGGCAAATGTTGCGCTATGGGGCTTCCCAGACAAAACGACCTTTTCTTATCAAAAGTCTACCCAACCGAGCAAAAGCTGGACAAGGGGCCAAGCACAGCCTGTCGGTGGAATCCGTCTCTTATCGGCTGCTCTCTCTCTTCCCTCCACCAGGACCTCAGCTCCCCTGTGCCCCCACCTCTGGGTCAGCAGGACCCGGGGAAGAAGGCCCTCCTCTCGGAACACTGCCGGCTCTATTTCGGGGCGCTCTTCAAGGCCATGGGCGTCCTCCACAGCAGCCTCCGCCCCGGCCAGCCCCCCGAGATCCTCGTGGCCCAGAGCAAGCTGGTCATCACGATCGGGCAGAAGCTGGTGGACACGCTGTGCAGGGAGACGCAGGACAGGGACGCGCGCAACGAGATCCTCCGCGGCAGCAGCCACCTGTGCAGCCTGCTCAAGGACCTGGCGCTGGCCACCAAGCGCGCCGTGCTGCAGCGCCCCAGCCCCGCTGCGCTGGCGCACCTCCGGGCCGAGGCCGACAAGCTGGAGCAACACGCGAGGCAATTCAGGGGGTCGTTGGACTGAGCCTCCCTCCCTCCTTCTCATGCGGAGAGCCAGCCCGAGGGGGGGAGGGGTACACCGATGGGCAGAAGAGCCACGTGCCCGAAGCCTAGGCAACCCCAGGACATTGCCTTGTCCCACAGACAGTCAGGGGAGAGAGACGGGTGTTGAGTAAGGACCTTGCTAAGTGTTCATGACGTAAGGTCGGTGTATGAAGTGACATTGTAGAAACTGATTTTTGTACCGGTTAAATGTGTGCCTGTTTTAAATTCATTCAGTATTTATTTATTGGACACCTACTAGATGTGCAATTGCAGGTGCTGCTCATGTAGCAGTAAATTAATCGGAAACCTCACCCTCAGGGAGCTTACAGAGAACACAGTGACAGAGAAAGACATATCCTGTATGTCAGGTGCTGGGGAGAAAAGAAAGGGTGGGGGGGGGGGAGACTAATTTCCAAATGAGTAACGGTCGCATCCGTTAGATAAGGTCATTGGTATTTCATTTTTGATGGAATTGGTTCTGTGAGATTGGTACACATTATGTATCTGTGTCTTACACCAAATATATATTTATATTTGCTATTTTGTCTTCACCGAGTTAAAGATGCATATTATACTTGCAACATAGCCTGTCCTGTTGGGTTCCCTGTTAATTTATTTTGTACACTGTGGAGTCTGTGTTGATAAATTCAGGATGCTCAATCAGCAAAGGTTTGTACCTCAACATTTACAGCATTACCATTTATAGTATCATGTAGATATAATCATGAAACATCCTTTGCACCAAGGCTTTCCTTGGAAAAGTCCTTGATCCGTGTTACTCGGATCCTGGTACCAAAGCAAAGTCTCCAGTGCTAGAGTGTGCAGAGGGATGGAGTTGAGGCCAAGTTATGGAGTTGAGGCCAAGTTCTGGTGCACAAGGCTAGCGTCCAGGCAGGAAGTGTGTGGGGACAGACAGGATACCCATCTCCAGGCACAGATCTGAACGTGGGGACAGACAGGATACCCATCTCCAGGCACAGATCTGAACGTGGCTTGGAGCTCCCTTGCATCAAACCACCTCCTCTTCTCCTAGCAGCTGGGTCTTTAGCTCATGTTGCTATGGTTACACCATCCCTACTTCACTTCAAGTGAAGGTCCATGTTTCTATACGCATCTCAGCCACAAAACAGCATCTCCAGGCTGGTAGTCACCTGAAGTGGAACCAGGTTCAGTTCCTGCCTGCTGCTCTGCGTTCAGTAGGTGCTTTTAAATTGTTGGCTGCGGGAAGCTGGTTATTTTTGCTGTTAGTCTTGGGGTTTCTGAAGAAGGAGCCAACTGGGAGAGGCTTGATACATCAGAACGGGGAGATCCACCTTCTCTGAGCTGCTGTGACCCGTATCATTTAGGATTCCTGCTGCAAGTGATCAAAACCTATATCCAATCCCTCTTAAGCAGTAAAGGAAATTTATTGACTGAAGTATCTTAAAATCACCCAGGTGCCAACTGGCTTCAAGACCGGCTGGTTTTAGCCCTGGCCAGTATGGCTCAGTTGGTCGTCTTGTGCACCAAAAGGTTGCTGGTTCAATTCCTGGTCAGGTCACTTGCCCGGGTTGCAGGCTCGACCCCTGGAGTGCATGCAGGAAGCAGCCGATCTCTCACATAGATGTTTCTCTTTCTCTCTCTCTCTCCCTTCCTTTTTCTCTAAAAAAAGATCAATGAAATGTTTTTAAATCAATACAAATATTTTTTTAAACCAAGACCATCTTGTTTTGGGTGAACAGTATCCACAAGGCCCGCTTTGTTAGTCCTGTTTTCTCTGAGTTAACGCTCATGATTGCAAGGTGGTTGCCCATGTTCTTGGTTTGTGGCATGTAATGCTCAAGTGGTCCTAGACCTGGAATTCTCCCCTACACACCACACACACACATATACACACACGCACACACATGTGTCCTGACAGAAAGGCAAAGAGGTGTCTCTGCCAAGAACTGTGAAATGTCTGAAATTCCCCCCAACCCCGCCCCTTCAAATGAATATTAGCCCACCCCAGTTTCATGGATGCAGACAGAAGACATGAGATTCTGGGGTCAGAGACTATGTCGGGGGTCCCCAAGACCACTCCCAGGTTCAAAGATTCATGAGGAGGATTTGCAGGACTCAGCGTATAGTCAGACTCCTGGCTATGATCTATCACAGTGAAAGGATGTGGGAAGGGAAAAGGCAGGGGGTGAGTGCAGAGGAAACCAGGCTGAAGCTGCCAGGAGTCCTCTCCCAGTGGCCACAGGGGACAGCCTTTCATTCCCCAGGTAACGAGTTGTGACAAAACAGGTGAAGTGCCACCGGCCGGGAAACTCATGAGAAACCGGCACCCAGGGTTTGTATTGGGGCCGATCATGTCAACAGCCTCTGTGAAGCATGTACCAAAGTTCCAGACCCTCAGAAGGAAAGCAGGTGTTCAGCACGAGTTACATTGTTTGTGCAATGAGTTTAGACACACTGGGCCATTCTTGTCAACCCTGGGGATGGTGGAAACCCTCCCCAAGTCCAAGTTCCTATCCAACAACCCAAGGCCAACCTTGCCAAGATGTCCTAATATCCTACGATCCTTCTGAGGATGGGGTCAGGCCTTCCAGGCACAGGGACAAAAGACTTTTCTCACAGCATCACAAGAGCTTATATTTCATATTTACATGCCTTCTACCCCCCGAAGTCCCCTGGGTGCATGTGATGCTGTGCACACAAAGAACCCTGAGCATAGGAAACCCCAATCTTCTACAACAGGATCTGCACAAACCTGGCCAAGCTTGGCCTCAGAGGAGACGGATTATTTGGGGCAGCAAACAAACCTGCCCTTCTGCTCCGGAGGAGACATGGTCTGTCTTCCAAGGGTCTTTGCTACAAATCCAGACCAAATGCCATCAGTGCCTCTGCTCAGAAGACGTGCAGAAACTCAGGAGACCCTGGAGGACTGTCCCAACAGGAGCTTCTAGCAGAGTCAGGAAAGCTGTCGGAAGGAGAGATGGGTGCAGGGAGCACCAGGAACAGTTTACTCCCGTAGGCAAAATGATCTTTTCCACATAATAATCTCAACAGCACAAATGTGAAGTGATTGCCATGTTCCAGACATTGTTTTAATGCTTTAGATGTTTTAACTCATTCAGTCCTTCAGAAGTGATCTAGGCCCTAATGGGTAGTGAACTGGTCCCTATTGGTTTCAGGACACTATATATGTTTGCATGTACACAAATAGATATAAACATATGTGGAGATATATCTACATTACATAGTTTTTTTTATGTGGCTTAAACAACAGATATTTATTTCTCACAGTTCTCTAAGATCCAGGTATGAGCAGCAATGGTTTCTCCTGAGCCTCTTTCCTTGGTTTGCACTCAGATGGCCAACCCTCATATCACACATCCCTCATATCTCTTCTTTTTTCTTCTTTTTTTTTAAATTAAATCTTTATTGTTCAGATTATTACATTAGTTACTCTTTTTTCCCACCATAACTCCCCTCCACCCAGTTCCCACCCCACCCACCGCCCTCACTCCCCACCCACTGTCCTAATCCATAGGTGCACGATTATTGTCCAATCACTTCCCTCACCCCCCACATCCCTTTCCCCCCACCCAAGAATAGTCAGTCCATTCCCTTTCTATGTCCCTGATTCTATTACAATCACCAGTTCATACTGTTCATCAGATTATTTATTCACTTGATTTTTAGATTCACTTGTTGATAGATGCGTATTTGTTGTTCATAATTTGTATCTTTACCTTTTTCTTCTTCCTCCTCTTCTTAAAGGATACCTTTCAGCATTTCATATAATACTGGTTTGGTGGTGATGAACTCCTTTAGCTTTTTCTTATCTGTGAAGCTCTTTATCTGGCCTTCACTTCTGAATGATAGTTTTGCTGGATAAAGTAGTCTTGGTTGTAGGTTCTTGGTATTCATCACTTTGAATATTTCTTGCCACTCCCTCTGGCCTGCAAAGTTTCTGTTGAGAAATCAGCTGACGGTCGTATGGGTACTCCCTTGTAGGTAACTGACTTTCTTTCTCTTGCTGCTTTTAGGATACTCTCTTTGTCTTTTGCTCTTGGCATTTTAATTATGATGTGTCTTGGTGTGGTCCTCTTTGGATTCCTTTTGTTTGGGGTTCTCTGCGCTTCCTGGACTTGGAAGTCTTTTTCTTTCACCAGGTAGGGGAAGTTTTCTGTCATTATTTCTTCAAATAGGTTTTCAATATCTTGCTCTCTCTCTTCTTCTGGCACCCCTATAATTCGGATGTGGGTACGCTTGAAGCTGTCCCAGAGGCTCCTTACACTATCTTCGTATTTTTGGATTCTTTTTTCATTTTGCTTTTCCGGTTGGGTGTTTTTTGCTTCTTCATATTTCAAATCTTTGACTTGATTCTTGCGATCCTCTGGTCTGCTGTTGGGAGTCTGTATAATATTCTTTATTTCAGTCAGTGTATGCTTAATTTCTAGTTGGTTCTTTATCACAACATCGAGGGTTTCACCAGTCTTCTTGAAGATCTCACTACATTTATCGGCGGTCTCACCAGTCTTCTTGAAGATCTCACTACATTTATTGGCGGCTTCTAGACAGTTCTTTAAAGACCTTAAAAGTGTGGTTTTGAACTCTATATCCAGCAGTTTGCTTTCCTCCGATTCTGTCGTTTGTGTCCTGTTTCTTTGTCTCGGCATTTTTTATGCTTCGCTGTGTCGATAGAGTGCCTTTCTGTGCTAAGTGTCCCAATTACCTGAGGTAGATACTCTTGGTGCATCCCCTTGTGGGCTTTGTGCACAGTCTTGTTGTAATTAAGCCTTGATTGTTGTAGTTATCACTGGGAGGAATTGACCTCCAGGCCAATTGGCTGTGAGAATCAGCTGTGTCTGCAGTGGGAGAACTTCTGTGCTGGAGACGCCCCTCTGGGGCTAGACTTGCTTCGATGGGGCTTTGGTGCTCACTGAGTCTGCCCTCTGAGTGTGTCTTTTATGGTTCCACGGAGCTGCAAACTGGATGGTCCCACTCTGACCTCTGGGCTTCCTGGCTCCTGGATCTCTAGGGAGGTGCTAATCTAGCCTTTGCCTGAGGCTATCCAGCAAAAGTCTCCCTGCAGGGCTTGGGCGGGGCGGGTCCCATGGGATCAACAGGGCGGGGTTAGCAATTATAGCTGCTCTCAGTCTTGCCCTCAGACACTCTGCTTCTCAGTGTCCCATTAATCGCTGCAAGCCCCTCGGAGAGAAAGCTGCCCTCAGGTTCTGACCGATGCCAGACAGTCCCGCTTCTCCCGTATGAGTCTGGGTCCCTAGAGACTCGCCCGGAACTGGAGCTCAGAGCCTGAGACTCCCTCCCGATTGAAAATGACAACCACGCCCTCAGCCGCCAGCCCGCTCCACACGCACCTCCGCACCTTAGTATTTCA